TTATATTAAATAGAAAAAGTGATGATTTTGAATACAGCCTTGGGATGTTTCTTATAAGAAATAAATAAGAACAATTTCTTATAGATTTTTGAATAAGATAGTTTCCTTATCTCGTTTTTGATTGTCTCTTTTATGAAAATTTTTAATTGTCAGATTGCTATACAGTTGCTCTAGTTGTCATCCAATGAATAGTTCTGCTGTGATTAGAAATGTGGGAAACCAAGCTTTTTTTGGTTCCGGTCCCGATGATTTTAGTTTTTTATGTATCAATTCCAGTCGGAAGAAAAGTATCCGAGAATTTATTCGTATCACGTCAAAAAAAGTTTTTCAATACTCGTATTTTGGTTGATTTAGTTAATAATAAACACTTTGTGGGGTCATGTATCCCCGAATTATGTTCTGATTGATACGATCTATAAGATAAATCGCTTAAAACCGTAGAATATTTAACTATAATCTTCAGTTCTGGTTGGGACAACTTTTCTTTCGAGAGCACGGTCATGGACTGTGCAACTTGTTTTTCCTATGGTTCCAGTCCCGATCCCGGAATTGAGACTAAAATTGGTCTTGTACATCTCTATTCATGATCAATTGTTTATATATTTGTCTTGCATGTGTATTCATTGCTAAGCCTCAATATATAGCAACGTCTAAGAAATATTAATTTAGTCGAACTATGACAAAAAAAAGAACTATTCTTCAAATAATTTGTTCATTTGATTCACGACGCTGTCTTTTTTGCTTTTTCAAATGTACTAGTACGACGACAAAATACAACAACGCCTAAATAATAATTTTAATCCAATTAAAACAAATAGTCATATTGCATACACATCTATAATTATGATAAGCATAAAATGGGAATGAATTATTAATTGGTACCAATGATTTTATTCCATATTCCGCAAACATTTCAATTAAATCCACTGCATGTTCAGCATCACCATCTAATTTCATTATTGTTTCAATTCGTTTTATATTCTTTTCTCTAAACAATCTTTCTTCATTATTTAACATCATTTCAATTGTTTGTTTTAATTTTTCAGATGTAAAATCATATTTATGTAACCATCGACCAATACCTGCATCTTCTAAACATTGTGCCATGTCTTGTTGATCATCTATAATTGGTATACAAAGAATTGATGTACCTAACCAAATACTTTCATAAGCACTATTAGTAGCACAATGAAAAATAAATAAATGTACATTTGGATGAGCTAAATAGTCTAATGATGATGAAACCCATTTAAACGATTTGAAATGTTGAAGATGATTTTGTTAGTAATAGATCATGTTGATTTATTTTCCATATAATACGATATTTATCTATTGATTCTAGAGCAAGAAATATTTTTTGTATTTGTTCATTTGATAGTGGAACAAACGTACCAAAATTAACATAAATAATTGATTTCTCATCAAATTCAATTCACTGTCGATCTTCATTCGATGATTATGTTATATAACAATCAGAACATTTGGTGGTACATATTGTGCATATTCAACTCCAAATGCATTCTTAACTAAAACCATATAAGAATGATAATGTGACCATAAATGAAATGAATTATTGAAATGAAATTTTTTTTGTCTCAAATAATCGAGTGGTCGATCATATCGAAAATAAATATAAACAACTGATAAATAACGAATAATCGGTGATATTGTACGTAATAGTAAATTTGTTCCTATCGAATAAATAGTTTGAGATGAATCTAGAAGAATGGTTGGATTATAATCTGCTAACAGAATATCATACCACCCAAGATATGGTAATAAATTAGCAGCATTAATTAAACATGGAATAATGAAATAATGAGCAATATCAGTACCAGCATATATTAAACGATCAACAATAGCTATTATTGTTTGTTGTTTATTAAATCTGTTTGTTCGTACATTTGAGGATAATATTTTTCTATTACTTGTTCAAGAATGGATAATGCATTTAATCCTGAACTGGTTTGTGCAGCAATATTTTTAAAGTTTGATGCGATTTCTGTATCATTTTGACATTGGCCAATGTCTACAAATTTGATTGTTGTATTCCAACACCTTGTTTCAACATATGTTTTGACATTTGAGCAACTAATTATATATATATTATAGTCAATATCACGACGTTGGTATAATTCAATCGCTTGATTTAATAATGGATTTAGATGACCAATAAATGGTATGGAAATAAATAGAACTGTCTCTGATTTTGACTGGGCAACAACACAATCAATTAGATATATTATTAAGAGGATACTAAGTGTCTTGAACATCATTATAAATCTGAAGGTTAAATGTTATATCATATTAATCTGATAAGTCTATTTGTGTATATCTACATTGTTTTCAAAAATGATTGAGATACCAAGAACTTTTTCACGCAAAAATAAAATATTGAAACAAAGAACGAATCCTAAATCAACCTTATTTATATTATTCGATAAGTCGAAGTCTTATTTTGTCATAATTGCTATTGCAAACGGAAAAGCACTTATAAAATATTTTTTTTTGTATCGATTGCCTTCGATTAATCAGGGTGATTTTATTCAATTGTTTTACAGTTTAGTTTATTTGCATAAAAGTATTTATATTATTTCATTGCAACATGTGAACGTCAAGGAAAGCATAAACGAAGAGAATTATAATAAATTTTGGTATCCTATTAGACGTTCCTAAGTACTTTTTGTTTCATAATGTATATTAAATTTTGTTTCAATCGAACGGCGTAATACAGAAAATGATTTAACGTTGCACTGTAAAACGAATTATGCTATAGTAATGTAATCTAACTGCCTCTCTCCATCGGTTAGGAGATGGATGAAAAAACAATTGAATATTACCCATCAAAATTCATTAATGCTGGCGAAATTTTATTTTATAACAAGACAACTAATCAACATGATGTAATATAGTGTCTGAAAAGCTTTTATACCTATTAAACAATGAAAGTGACCACATGGAGTCAGATGAAAAGATTTAATTTCGCACATAAAAATGTAAGAAAAAATAATTTTTTCTTTTAATATCTATTATTCTTTGAGATCTCACTGTTACTCTTATCTCATTCAAGAGAAATAGAGACATATCAGAATTTAAAAAAAATGAGAATCAAAGTGAGTTATTTTAGCACAAGAAAATGGCAACGATCTTCGAGTCAGATGAAACGTTTTATTTTTAAACTATGTATGTCAAACTTGAAACTTGAATTCAAGTATTCAATTATTTAAAACTTAAATAGTTGAAGTTCAAGTATTGAACTAGGGTGTGAGCAGCGGGGAAACAGCCAATACGTCTGTTGTGAAGTACCGAGAAGTCTTAATAGTCTTTCGAAGCCTTGTGAAGTCTGTTAAAGTGTCATGAAGTTGTCCCGGATATTTCACATGCGCTTAATGCATAGAAAATTCATCACAATCGCAATTAAACGATCTGGATTTTGATGATCTTACTTTATCAGACCTGTCAACTGTTTCCTTTGCGATTCTGGCGGAAAACTCTAAGCTCCATTAAACATTAGAAAAATCATACTCAATAAATCATTTCTTCTTCATAGAGTCTTTCATTTTAAATATTCTAAGAACACAATATCAATAGGGTTAGTGTGGGTGTGGGCGTAGATGTGTGGCTTTACGTGTTAGTCATTTTCTCCACCAGTCCCTTGTCGGCACCCAAACCTGGAGCTCTGATGCGTGTGTGCGATTTACAAGGGACTTGTCTTAGTCTCAGTTTCTTCGTGGTACCCATACCTGGGGTCGTGAGGTGTGTGTATGTTTATGTGTGAGTTGTCTCTACCCCCAGTCCCTTCGTGGCATCCAAAGCTGTGGTCGTGATGTGTGTTTGTGTAAGGCGTCTCTTCTCCGATTCCTTTCTCGGCATCCACACCGGTTGCGTTAATATTTGCGCGTGTATTCGTGTGTGTCATCTATTGTTCCAGCCCTTTCCGTTTAATTACGAATCAAACAAGTGAATAGTTGAACTCAAAAATATTTCCTACATCATGAACTCAATAAGAAATCCTTGAATACTTTAACTTCAAGCATTCAATAATTCAATAGTTGAATTCAAGTTTCAAGTTTGACATATAGCTATGTGATATTTTCTTGTTGCCATTGAATACCTGAGATGTGGTATACTGTTCGCAGCTTTCACAATATTCAAATCTGTTTGACGATCAAACTTACGGGAGAATTTTATTTTCAAATTCATTTTGTGAAAAATCATATTCAAGATACTTTGAAATATTTGTAGAACAGTGTTCCAGAAGAAAATTCTGTTCATTTCCAATGCCAAAGAAATGTTTCGATAGCTTTGTACCACAACATAAGTTCTGTAGTCTTCATTTAGCTCAGGAACAATAAATTGTGATATCCATCAATAGCGTAAACAACGCCTGCAGTTCATAGTTCTGAGAGTTCGTTCAGTCGACATCTGGCTTTTTGATGTTTTGAAAATACTAGCCAATGCTTCGTTTGCAACAAACAAACATGTGGAAAGCTTATTTCGTTATCAGTTTAAATACATCTATCCGAATGCTTAACTCATGAGAACCAGACCTGTAGCCAAAAATATTCTGAGGAGAAAGACGTGCTGAACACTGTCTAAGAAGGATCCGCTGGTGAAAAATAGTGTGCTTGTAGATCCTCGAGGGAATTTATTTTCTGAGAAGGAGAGAGAATGGATCCCTCAGCCACCCTCTTCTCTGAGGTCTTCATAAGAACCTAGGAAAGTTTTGTCTAATTATGAAAATAAATCTTGAGAGAAATCTCAAACCACTCGTTGCTATTTTAATTCTGTGTACAGAGTGAGTTCTATGAGAGCATGATGTGGTCTGCAATGAGACGTCAAATGAAATATTTGACTCATTATCGTGCCTTCTATGTGCAGGATACAAAATAATTTGATTTTCTATTGGGAACGATGAACATAATTTTGTACACCTGTTCAATGATGCATCGACCATCTCTTGAGACAGTTATTAGCAGGAGAGAGACAACTCCCGATTAAAACCATTTTCAAACTTGTGTATTGATTCTACTGTTCGTGGAAATAAGTTTCAACAAAAAGGTGGTACCTCAAGAGTTCAACTGTGCTTCAATTAAAACATGACAAGTTCTGAGAGAAAGTGCCCCAAAATAAGCAAATAATTTCTATTAAATCTTGAGTTTAACGGCTCTGAGACCATGATTACTTGTTAGTCCTTAGCGTTCGAAAAGTTGCTTGTCATTTTTGTGTATCGTACATTTTTTTGCAAACCTTTCGAAACCGATTAGAGGAACAGAAAGTCGTTGATCTACAGGACTCTCAGTAAGCGACGAATAGTTCGATTAGTTGTACTGTTTTTGCACAACTCAATTTTCAATATTTGGTTTATTATGATTGTTTTTACTCTAGAGAAAGGAAAAATGTTTTTTTTTCTACATCTACTAACCAGTAATAAATTTTGACTGTTTGGATGAATTATCAAACTGTGATAGTTCGTAAAAACTCTTGTCTATAGTAAACTTTATCTTTTGCTTGATCAAATGCTCACGCATCCTATTATAGATGTGCTTTTTTCTCCTAAGAATAATAAATTAATAGAAAAGCTGAATTGATGTTGACATCCATCAATCTTATAAATCATATGTTAACGGCAAACAAACAGAATATGATGTTTATTGCGACTAACATATGTATGATGCTGTTTTTTACGTGTTCGTCATGCAAAAAAGAGAAATGCAAGAGGATGGAGAAAACGCTGACTCGGGCGAAACAAAGAAAGTTAGCAGAGCTGTTTTCTGGCGTACAATGCTTCATCGTGATTATTAAGACTCATTTTTCTTTTTTTCTAGATGATTTGACATTTTTTTGTACGCGTAAATTACGTGTAGGTGGCAGGGTGTGGTCGGCGGGTGTGGGTGTGGGTGTGGGTGGGTGTGGGTGTCTGTGGGTGTGGGTGTCTGTGGGTGTCTGTGGGTGTGGGTGTGGGAGTGGGTGTGGGTGTCTGTGGGTGTCAGTGTGGGTGTGGCTGTGTGTGTTAGTGTTATTTTCGTCGACGCACCCGCACCCACACCCACACGCACACCCACACC